CATACTATTCTCAAGCTTTTTAAGCAACGGCACACCTAGGAACAAATAAAACTATCACGGCTGGGTTAGGGTTAAGGTTAAAGCAGTGTTTCTCAACCATTTTAAGCAACAGCACACCTAGGCGCAAATGAAAATATCACGGATGAGTTAGGGTTAAGGTTATGGCAGTGTTTCTCAACCATTTTAAGCAAGGGCACACCTCGGCGCAAATAAAACTATCACGGCTGGGTTAGGGTTAAGGTTATGGCAGTGTTTCTGAACCATTTTAAGCAACGGCACACCTAGGCGCATATGAAAATAGCACAGCACATTTAGCAACATTTTAAAAGCGTATACATTTAAATGATATGAAATAAAATCATAGATTAAAAAAAAATACACACACAAAAATATGAATTTACTTTATTTCAATGTTTCTATTCAACTATTTGTGCAGCTTATTTAGTGCGAAATCTGTGTCTGGTGTTTTTTTTCGCAATTTCGTAATAATATTTCGCGGCACGCTTAAGAGGACCTCGCGCAGCACACTAGTGTGCTGCGGGACAAAGGTTGAGAATTACTGCCATTAGAGGCTTAACACGCACGTACGATCATTTTCTATTTATCTGTGAGTCTATAAGTGAATATTGGTCTGATTTATTCTTTAGCTTATAGGAAAACATTTCATCAGATTTATACATGAGACTATCGGTAAACAGTCAAATTTATACTTGAGCCTTTAAGTCAAAATTTGTCAAATTTATTCCTGAGCCTATAAGAAAATATTAGCATTCTAAACTGAAGGAGATACGACGCGTTTTGTCGAAGATCACAAGTTAAAGGATATTAAATTTTGTTTAAATTTAATATAATAATATAATTGGCAATTATTATTAATTTGATTTCATTTATTATATATATGATGATTATTATATTTATTTGACGTTATATATGTATTATATATTATTATTTCTTTGACCTTTTTCGACAGTTACCGTGTTTTTCTGTATTAGTATTTAGTCCTCCTATATGGCAGTGAATGCTGGACAATCCCCTCACAGATGAAGAAGAGACTTGAGGCAACAGAAACAAAGAAAAGAATACTGAACTGTTATGCAATATCAATCCTCCTATATGGCAGTGAATGCTGGACAATCTCCTCACAGATCAAGAAGAGACTTGAGGCAACAGAAACAAAGAAAAGAGTACTGAACTGTTATGCAATATCAGTCCTCCTATATGGCAGTAAATACTGGACAATCTCCTCACTGATGAAGATACTTGAAGCAAAAGAAACAAAGAAAAGAGTATTGAACTGTTATGTAAGATCAGTCCTCCTATATAGCAGTTAATGCTGGACAATCTCCTCACAGATGAAGAAAGGACTTGAAGCAACAGAAACAAAGAAAAGAGAACTGAACTGTTATGTAATATCAGTCCTCCTATATGGCAGTGAATGCTGGACAATCTCCTCACAGATGAAGAAGAGACTTGAAGCAACAGAAAAAAGAAAAGAGTACTGAACTGTTATGTAATATCAGTCCTTCTATATGGCAGTGAATGTTGGACAATTTCCTCACAGATGAAGAAGAAACTTGGAGCAAGAGAAACAAAGAAAAGAGTACTGAACTGTTACCTAATTTCAACCTCCTATATCGCAGTGAATACTGGGCAATCTCCTCACATATGAAGAAGAGACTTGAAGCAACAGAAATGGGGCTCTACAGAAGGATTCTGAGGATGACATGAACCGAGCACGTGAGCAAAGACGAACTTTTAGAAAGAATGCAAACAAAAAAGAAACTTATACATAACATCAGGAAGAGACAGTTGTTATTTCTTAGTCAAATAATGAGAAAAGACGGTTTGGAAAATCTGATACTCGTAGGAAAGATTGAAGGCAAAGGGGGCAAAGAAAAACAAAACATAACCTCACTAACGAGCTTGAGTAAATGGATGAAGGAGTAAGGAGTTAGGAGAGATAATAAAAAAAAGACGTAATTTATTAAGAGTTACGACGGGAAGGAAAACGTGGAGAACCGTGAATGCCTACGTTAGGAAGAGACACAGCAGATAGAAAAAGACGATACAAGGCCCCAAGTTTAGAGCGTCCGCTGAGACTTGATCTTCATACTGGTTGACTCGCTTTACTTGATAATCTCTGTTCTTCAACGACGAACCAAATACGTATTTTTATTATTATTATTATCATTATTGTTATTACAATGAGAGGGACTGTATAGAACAAAGAGTCTATTATCAAAATTAAAGAGGAGAGAAAGACAGACAGTAACAAGGAAAAGTGCAATGAAGAAAGCCAATTAAGAACTAATGCCGTTAGCCAATCAGTTAAGAATAACAAACTCTCCCTTCTCATGGCGGAGGGACCTGATTGGTTTTAACTGTGAGCGAAATCTTGACCATTGTATCTGTCAGCAAGATGGCGATGAGGCCATTCTATCAAAGACCATCTGCTGTTCATGATGACTGACACGATAACATACATGCATATATATATATATATATATATATATATATATATATATATATATATATATATATATATGTAACAGCAAAATTGGCCAAATCGTGTAACAGTAAAATTGTCCCATAGTTAAATAAAGCTTTCAAGTTGTATCTTGGTAATGATTATCGATTTAAGGGTGTCTTACTGGAATTCTCCGAGATTTTTATAGCATTAGTGGACTCTACTTTAAACAATAAGAATGTGTAATCACTGCCCAAATTTAACAGAAGAATCGTGATGAAATCGTTTAATAACGAAAATGACATTTTCATCATTAATTAACCATAGCTAAGGATCGGAAGCTCATGAAGAATTGAAAAAGTTATAAATCTATCTATATATATATATATATCTATATATCTATCTATATATATATATATATATATATATATATATATATATATATATATATATATATATATATATATATATATTGAAGAAAAAAAAAATATTAAAAAATTAAAATCTTCAGACACACTGGGTTGTAGATTAATATTCTTCGTTTTTTGTTTTTTTTTTATTATTATTTCATTTAGATTCTTCGACTAGTTTCGGCCAAATTGGCCATCATCGGGAGGAGAAATATTTCTGCTTGCTGGTAGCAGTAAACTACAGAAATGGATGTCTTGCTGGAGAAAAAACTTTTATATATATATATATATATATATATATATATATATATATATATATATATATTGTGTGTATTTAGGCAGCATTTTTTCATTCACACAAGTTTCATTAAATAATATAGACAAGTGCTGTCTATTTATTTTATGTACATGTTTCATTAAATAAAATTGGATTGGATCAAAAAATATGTATAAATATTGTGATTTTCTTTCATCGTTTAATGATAATATTATTAAGCTTATCAGACGTTACGAAAAGAATTTACATAAAACAAATAGACAACACTTGTCTATATCATTTAACGAAACATGTATGAATATATATATATATATATATATATTAGTCGGACTATTGTCCACATCTTTGTCGCCATATTTGTCACAACTTTTCGGCCGTTGTACGCTCCGGCCTTTTTCAGGTGGTTGGAATTTCGAACTGAACCCTTTATTTTGCTCACTGGGGTAGACTGTTCTAGTTCCACGTGCCATGTTTGATGGATGTCAGTTATCAGTTATCTCCTGTTAATTTCCCTCTGAAAGTTCTCCACTGCCTTAACCGGGTATTGAACTCACACTCTTTGGGTCTGTAACTGGATCTAACCAACGGCTTTATCCACTGTGCCATGTGTCCTTGAGGAAATCCAACGAACCGTTTGATGATTTGGAAAAATCTTATTTTGTGACAGAAGGGATGGGATCTTACCGCCAATCTAGTACTGCGCTTAAATTCATAGTCTCGGAACCAAAGTAGAAAGGTCATAAAATATTTATAGAAAAGACACAGGGAAGTTTCGTTAGGGGTGTTATAAAGTTACTGTAACCGAGATGTCAGATCAGGACAAATAATATTGCAGATTTTCCTTTGTATTTTTTCTAGAATACATAACAGAAGCACCAGATGATATTTGACAGCAATATTCAATGCAGATACGAATGATAGCTCTACAAATGTCTAAGACAGTTCCTGCAAGAAGTTGAAGAGAGCCATGTTCGCAAACGATCTGAATGGACACATGTGTGAAAAAAGGATTATTTTGTGACAAATTTTCATTTTGTTTCTCTTTCAAAAATTACTTGGTCACATCCCTCCAAAAAAAAGTTTTAATGTTGTCTTGAGAAAAAACGACTTTCTTGTTTTCCATAATTTTAGATACTTTCCATCAATTATGGTTTTTACTTAGTCTAAATGGGAACAGTACTTCTTCGAATCAATCGTTTCATTGTTTCAATAAAGGACACAGAAGACGATTTTCTTGTCAAACAGATAATACATCAGACATACAGACAGACACAACTTCAGACAGAACAAACACTGAGACAAATAAATAGACAGACAAATATAAACGTTATCAAAGGCAATAGCCAAGCGGAATAGAGACAGTAAACATTAACGGAGGGACAGAAAATCCAGCAATCCCACTGACAGACAAAACAAAAACACAATCAGACAGCAATAGAAATGAAAGATTTAAGTCAAGCGAAAAAAAGATAACTGGCTATTAGCAGACAGACAGAAAATTGACCAATTGCACACAGAATAAAATCACAGACAAGTAAACAGACTGAGAAACATAAAATATATCACTGATTTAAGTCATTCGAAAATTAGAGACGAGACATTAACAGACAGAAAATCTAACAATCCCACAAACAAACATCAATAGACCGATTAAGAAAAGAAATAAATGATTTTCGTCTTGCCGAAAAAGGAAAGTGGTATTTAACAGACAGAAAATATTCTTCATGCATAGAAACCATGAACACAGAGAAAATAAATCAAACAATGAATGAAAAGATAATAAAGTGGACAATAACTGACAGACAGAAAATGCACCAGATTGACAAACAGACCAAAAAACTAATACTAACAAACAAAAGAGAAAGAGGAGATAATAAGACAGACAGACAGACAGAGAGACAATCCGTCAAAGAGGCAAAGCAGACAACAACCATAAACGGTGAAACAGACAGACAAAAACACAGAATGGGAGTGAAAAAGAAGAGAACGAATAAAACGAAGAAAGCATCACGTGTAGAGAAATAACTACGACAGCAAAGAAAGAAAGAAAGAAAGAAAGAAAAAAGAAAAGAAAGAAAGAAAGAAAGAAAGAAAAGAAAAGAAAGAAAGAAAAAAACAAGAAAGTAAGAAAGAAAGAAAGAAAAAGCAAGAAAGAAAAAGAAAGAAAGAAAGAAAGAAAGAAAAAGAAAGAAAGAAAGAAAGAAAGAAAGAAAGAAAAGCAAGAAAGAAAGAAAAGAAAAAGAAACAAAAGAAAGAAAGAAAGAAAGAAAAAAGCAAGAAAGAAAAAGAAAGAAAGAAAGAAAAAAGCAAGAAAGAAAGAAAGCAAACAAGAAAGAAAGAAAGAAAGAAAAAAGCAAGAAAGAAAGAAAGCAAACAAGAAAGAAAGAAAGAAAGAAAGAAAGAAAGAAAAAGCAAAAAAGAAAGAAAGCAAACAAGAAAGAAAGAGAGCAAACAAGAAAGAAAAAAAGAAAGCAAAAAAGAAAGAAAGAAAGAAAGAAAGAAAAAAAGAAAGAAAGAAAGAAAGAAAGAAAGAGAAAGAAAGAAAGAAAGCAAACAAGAAAGAAAGAAAGAACATTCAACGCTGCACAAAGGCAACAAAAAAGAAATTTAAAAAAGTGTAAACAAAGAAGGAAAGAGAAAGAAAATATGAAAATCAGTTCATTCGATCAGTTATTTTTTGCCAGCGGCCATATTGAGATCAGGTCGGATAATTCCAATGTCGTGTGCGGTCACCTACAAATGATTTCTGTGAGTCGATTGACAATATTGCGAACAGATCGCGTCACCCGCTGTCGATACGACTCGGCAGCGCCTGCAGATAATTATGTCTCGAAATGGAGCAGATGCAACAGTCGAAAAGAGGAAGGGAGCAGAAAACGACATGAAGCGGGTAGATAGAAGATAAAGACCTCAAATTCATTCTGCCCATGACGAAAAATGGAACAAATACTTATTTATCATACGTGCACTTTTCTGAAATAAATCTTCTTTTTTTGTTCCCAGACATTCTAAATATGTAATCTGTAAACTTTATGAAGCACTTATCACTCCCTTTCACTGACACCCAGTTAACTTTTACACTAAAATTCACCGTTTATCGGGCTCGAGAGCCAATCAACGTAGAGCGTTACTGTTAAAATGGTTATAACGAATGAGTTGTTAAATCCTAAGTAGTGAACATGATGAGGATAAGACGGGCAGTGAACAAATAGACGATTGACATGTATAGGTTAAGATTGTAATGTTCAGAGAAGCATCCCCATGGGAGTCTGTTCCACGAAACAGCAATTGTACGGGAGAAATTTTGTTTTAATGAATACGGGGGAAAACGCGGGTGACTCGAATCAGTGGATGTGGCATGGTGCGTCGTAGCCGTAAATGTGTGAACTGGTGGTACTAAAGAATGAAGCTCTCTGGATATTTGCATTTGAAATGGCGATAGAGAAGCGATAGGCTTGGGACTTTCAGTCTGTGAGGAAAGAGGCTGTAGAGTGTAAAGTAAGCCTTCGCGACCAGGCCCCCAAAATTTTCAACTCTATCAAGGCTGGAAAGTTAGGATTGTGCAGCTCCATCCTAGACATGGCAGCAATACTTCATTTTGGGTCTAATGACTCTTGGAAAGATGAAGCATTTATTTGTTTTGTTTAACGGCACATCAACATCCTTATGGGTCATTTAATGCCGAAATTTAATTTTCTTAGAAGCTTTGAAGTAATAAAAATATGTTATTCTGCTTTCACAATTGAATATATGGTAGATGATACTCAGCTTCCGTGCATATACGAGGCCTGGCTGAAAAAATAACAGGACTGGGTGTGGTGTGTGAGCTACGGGCGAAAGAGGGATAAGTGGATTCTGTTATCATCCAATAATCTTAGCTTTCTGCAACCATCGAATTTTTTTTCCACATGCTTTTCTGGAATGACAAATCATAGGTGTTTCACTACGATAATGTAACTGCGAACAATGCCCTGAGCATCCGGCATTTCCTGGCCGTGAAGAACATCGCCGTACTGGAACAAGCTCCCTATTTACGTGATCCTACTCCGTGTGACTTTTTTCTTTTCCCCAAGGCCAAGGGAGGAAGGCGTTTGAAGGGGTGGAGGCCATCAAGAGCCTCGTAACCACGGAGCTGAGGGCATCCAAGAAGAATCCTTCCAGCAGTGCATAGAGGCGTGGCAGGGAAGGACGGAAATGTGCATTAGACTTGAGGGGTGATTACTTTGAAGGGGAAACCATGTAGTTTGTTTTTTGGAATTGAAATAAATTGTTTATCACACCAAATTCCGTTACTTCTCAGACAGACCATGTACGTTTTTGATGGACATGATGCGGTTTTGTTAAAGTTATATTTTGGAATAAAGTTTGATTTCTTTAAGAAATTGTAGGATATTATATTGATTAATGTTATGGAAGAGTTCTTTTATGTTCGTTAATGTCGTTTAGCGGCATATAAACATCTAGGTGGGTTATTTAATGCTGAAATATAAAACTTTTTACCACAATTTAATGGCTTCAACTAAAAAAATGTTGAATGCAATTGCATGCCTTCAAATGCAGATAAAATGTATTGTTGGCCATTTTGATTTAAATATATATTGTTGGTTGGTTGATTTTGCTTAGCGGCATATCAACATCTCTATGAGCTATTTAATGCCGAAATCTAAATATTTAGAACACAATTTTATGGCTTCACCTAAATATATTTTGAACGCAATTGCATGCCTTCAAATACAGATAAAATGTATTGTTAGCTATTTTGATTAAATATGTATTGCTGGTAATTGTTGTGGAGTGATTTCGCAGTGGAGGATTGTATTTGTACTAAATCGGTCCTAAAATAGGTTCGACGTACAAAATGTTAGGAACTTGATATAATAGGTATTACGCAGAGTAATCTTGTTGTGGTCGCTGATTACTTTCGTATTCGACTAATTGTCGTCCGACATCGACTGACCGTCATTTCTCTTACTGATCCTACTTATATTAGGTGGGAGAGTCTATTAACTATAGAATAGGTGTGTTTCACCATAACACCCCCTCCTAAAACTTTACTCAGTAGGAGTAAAACAGTTTTCTTTATTTATTTTTTACAGAAAATATGAAGAAAAAAAAAAACTTCATTTGTTTAGCAACATCGTAGCGGATCCACTTTTAAATGATCAGTTGATTTCTTTTTCTCCTGGATCGGCGTACCTCAAGTAAAATCGTTGCAGGCGTTGTTAGATCAAACGTATCGAAAATCACCTCCATCGGCGTTTTTTTCCGCGGGACCGCTGTTAACCACGTCTGAAGAGCGTCGTCTGATCTGGTTAATGTGCCGCCTGCCCGTGAATTTTTCGACTTTCACCAAGTACATCATATTGCCAATCCGCTTTTCTATTTTTGGTACCTCCATAATGTTACCAGAAACAACCTTCCACTTTGAGCTTCTTAAGAATGGAGTCACAGTTTCTGTAGGTTCTTCTTGTGGTTCTATTTGTTCAGCCTCTAGCTTCCTTTTGTTCGTCTTGATCTTCTTAACGTTTTCTGTGGTAACTTCAGTTGACTTAAATCATTTAATAATACTGCGTGTCCTTGGCTGCGGGTAACTCGCTCCCCAGTTTTTCTTGGTGTCGATTTCATCTTTACTTTCTGAAGTTTGTTTTTCACGTATATCGTCGGTGTTACCCATTCAACATTTTTAAGTACACCGGTTTTCTCTAATCTGTCCAATTCTTTATCTATCTGTTCAATTGAGGCAAACGGCGCATTCCTTTTCTTTTCGAATACCGCCTGAGTGTTTTCTTTTAGCTGGAATTTTGCATCCATCTTGGTACACGTTTCCAACCCTGGAGAAAAAACAGTAGGAAATGTTTCTTTAAGTTTCTTTACTAATTTTGGGGCTTCGGTGTTTAAACTTTCAACCTTGTAACAGAAAGAATTTATCGGTAGATCCCATAATTGGAATTCTGTTATCCAATTCGTACCAAGGAAGTTCGTGGTATTTTCTATGACAAATAGTTTAGCTTTTCGCGTTTCTTTATTTAACGTGACGTTTGTAACAAATTCCCCAATAAATCGTATTTTTCTCCCGTCACTGACCTTGCGATTTTCTTTGTCTTCATTAAAATTGGTTTCCACAACTTCTTCCACATATATGCAAATTTATGATAGATAGCTCTGAGCCAATGTCGAGTTGCATTTTTATATTTTTATTACTTATTTCGACGGTAACAAATTTTCTGGTTATTCCATCTTTGACTTCGTTGGACTTTAATTTTCTTATTTTATTGTCTTTATTTTTTGACCTGCAATGCGTGCTTTTATGACCCACTCTTTTACAGTTGAAATATTTTTTATTCCTAAAATTGCAATATCTGTACCAGTGAAGTTCACCGCAAGCAAAACATGGCTTCTGGAGTTTTTGTTTATTTTTCTCTGGTATTTCACTTTTTGTTTGATAATCCGCAATTTTAGAATTCTTTTTGGTAGACTGTCTTTCTTCTTTGTAGCGTATTTTACTATTATATTATAGATATTTATTTACAGAGATGCCTTTCACGTTGAACATTGTCATATCTATGTGTACTCCAAGTTTACTCTTAACTGCCTCCTACGATTAGTGTTTAAGCTGATATACCGGCTGCGATGGATAAATTGTCGTCTACATGGCACCAAAATGAAAATAACACTGGCATCTCATTTTAACAGATATACACGGTGCGATGGATAAATTGTCATCTAAATGAGGCCAAATTAAAAATAACACTGACATCTCATTTTAACATATATATTTACCAAAATTACACAAAAAATATCTTGAAATACTAAACAGTAAATTTATTCAATAAAATCGCCATTAGCTTCCACTCGACTTCGGTATCTCCTGCAACTATTCTAAACGGTCTCCTTGTTTAAGTTGGTGAATGCTGCCATATTCCTTGCGTTCACTTACTCTTTGGTGTTACAAGGGGTTTTGTTTGTATCTCGCCTAATTGCGCCCCACACATAATAATCAGGGGGATGCAGTCTGGGGAGTTAGGTGGCCAGATGTAAGGGGTGATGTGGTGGCAGAAATTGTCTGACAGCTATGACTGGCTTCTCCTTCTTATGTGACATGGTGCAGAGTCCAGTTGCTAAACATAGGGTCTTCCAGTAGCCACCCTCTTTACCTTCTCAAGGCATATGATGTAGGCTTCAGTGTTGAGTGTACGACCCTTAACAAAAAATTCAGGTGTTCTTTTGTTATCAGAAAGACCAGAGTGAGTTTTCCAAGCTGTCGTACATTCGAAATCATCATTAGACTCATCCAACTCTGTCCAAATCATCTGCACTGTCCTCAGGTTGACACCCAAACACACTGAAATGTTCATATTGGAGCTTCCAATGCGAATGTACAGCTCGCCGTTCTCGATTTTCTGGCGAAGTGAATTGCTTCATCTTGCACTTTTTCTCACAGACAGTGCCCAACTGACCCTACAATACTGTGCAGTCGACAAAATCAAAGATAGACAATGGGCTTGCCCGAAATTAAAAATACAAAATGTCGTCTATTTGCCCATCGCAACCTGTATGTATGTATATATCAAGAAAGACATTTGGGTCACTAACTCACTAAAAAGAGAATGTCTCAAATCGAGAATATTTAACGTCGAAAAACATAAGAAAAAAAATTTTTAATATGTGGAAATCAACGCTTTTGCCTGATGAAGGTCGCGAGACCGGAAAATGTAGCAAAATTATGGAAAATAAAGCAAAATATTATTTAAAAAAATCCACATTAAAACCTGAAACGTTTGCAGTTAAATATATATATTTATATAATAATATATATTAAAACGTTGTTATTTTATTTATTTAAGCAAATGCATATTTCTGAATTTATAAAATTTTAAACATTAATATGTTTTTTAAATAAATTATATATAATATATATTTGTTTACATTATATATATACGAGATTATGGAAAGTTAGTTTATAAAAAATCGATATATAAAACTCTAAAGGCACGTCAGCGGTGTTCCGTATAGGAAAATCAAAAGAACGAAAATTTTCTATGAAAATTTCTCGGACATTCAGGCCGGTAAATGTTATTTAATACTGTTTATATAAACAGAGCATTTGCTTAAATACTTGTATCTATAAAATAACAACGTTAAATATAAAATATATATATATATATATATATATATTTGAGGGTGTTCCAAAATAATGTATACACTCTTTGAATCGTTATAACTTACTCAATTTACACATTTAAAGAATTTGAGAGTAAAATATACAAAAAACAGAAAATTAACTTTAATAAGATAAAAGATACTTGGGGCAATGGTAGAATGTTCATATAATGATGAGTTCACATCAAATGCTCAAAATGGCTGCCGTTCTGTTCAATACACTTTTCATATCTTGAAAAAACAGACCTAGAAACGTCCATTATCAATTCCTCTGGTATTTTGAGCACATTCTTCTTCAATTGCTACTCTCATTTCAGCAATTGTTTCAGGTTTCTTGCTGTAAAATTTGTCTTTTAGAAACCCTCACAAAAAGAAATCCAAGGGTGTCAAATCTGGTGATCTAGGTGGGTATTCAACTGTCCCTCTTCTTTCAATCCATCTGTTTTGAATATTTTCATCCATATAAGTTCTCACATCACAGTAATATATTATTAACTATTAATATTTAAAGAGTGTATACATTATTTTGGGACACCCTATATATATATATATATATATATATATATATATATATATGATAACTGCCTCTCCTTAACAAAAGTAGTCATCCCTTAAAATTTGAACAGGGCTCTTGCAAAGTCGAATTGTAGCTTAAAAGCAGTAATTCGACCTTGCTAACCAGACGCTTCCTCTGTAGCTAAATGGTATAGCACGTCAGGCTATATGACGGTTCCGTGTAGGATACAAGTTCATGTTCCTGTCGGTGGACACATGCGTTCAATATCTAGTTTGACAATTGATTCCATTCTATTTTGCAATGGCCCTAGGAGCTCTTTTTCATTTTTTTTCATTCTTCTCTCAAGTTCATCCCATGCTAATTCTTCAAATATATATGATTATAATTAGCGAATACAGTCAGCACATTGTAGCCGTGTTCGTAGTTAATATTACTGAGTTTATATATATATATATATATGTTATAAATTAACTGATTTAAAAATATGGAATTACCAAGTTTCAAATTCAATTATATAATTAATTCAAAAGCATTAGTTCCGTTTCATCTTCAAGCGAATATTGGAATAACTTATTTTCAAATCTACTGAGTTTTAAACGCACATATAAATCCATAATTTACTGTTTCCAAGGATACAGAGGAATCCAGTCATTCAGACAGGGTCGGTAG